GTAAATTATAAAAATCAAAATCAGTGAATTTTTTAACCACATGTAAACACATTTTTACTGAACATTTAAATGACTATACCTACTTACGATCTTTTTCAGCTTTTTAGGTTGTATGTTTGATAGTTTAGCTTTTAAAGCATCCTCATAATCGTCCATGCGAAAGTGTATACTACAAACTCTTTTATTAAAACAGGGCCACTTATCCTTCCTATGACACTTGCTCATCCACTGCTTTTGAATTTTTATATTTTTTGGAAATGTAAAAAACATTAAATTCCTTCCATTCTTTTTGGAATTTTTTGAATTATATTTGGAGATTGCTACACTACAAATATTTCCACCAGGCATCTGAATCAATAAAAAAATTGAATTAAGTTATATTTTTCCTGCATTAATCCCAATGTTACCTTTACTATATAATACAGCAGAAATAAAATCCAGTAAGACACAACCACGTTAAATGTATCTTAACACTTGTATAAGAGTTTTGGGTACAAGTTGTATACTAAAAATCACTCATTAATATCTATGGACATATTATATCTCAAGATATTAACATAAACTAGAGCACTAACGATATTTAACAACAAAATATATTCTCCAAACCACTTCTCCTATTTTATTTTCAAACAATTCGTAAAATTGACCCCTGGGTGACGTCACACGTCATATTTCATTCTGTCAATGTCACGAGTTACCATGCAACCTCCTTTTTACTAACCTTGACCCGAGCGATTTGATATTTTATTGTGATGTGACATGTGATGTAATATGGTGATATGTGATATAGCAGACATAGTATAAAAAAGAAATAGTATGGACACTCGACAGGCGGGAAAAAGTACGCGCATCATTTAGCGCAGGCCATATCGCCATATTGAAAACAGACCGAACGCTAGTGACACCCGACTGGTATTAATGTGAGGTGTAGTCGAGTCATCTGTCGTGATTTGTTTGTTTATATCTTTATCGTCGAGTTTTATTTTTCGTTTAATTAAGCCTAAAAAAACTTGGGGATATTAATTTCATTTTAAAATTATTTTTATAAAAATTTAATTTATGTAATTTAATAATTGTTTAACAATATTTAATAATTATTTAATATTTAGTTTTAGTATTTATGTTATGGTTAGGATATTTTATGTTGTTAATTGTTTTGTAAAAAATGGAAACATCCCGTTAATAAATAAATAAATACTAATTCTGGTTTTATTCGCCAAAAAATAAAGTAATTGATATTTCCAGTTAGGAAAATGGTAACCTTTACAACTGAACATAAAATTCAAATTATTAAATGATATTATTCTGGAAGTAGGGCCAACGATGTAACCGCTACGTTTTCGTTTTCATTCGAAAGCCCTGTACCATCAAAATCTGCAATTCACAACATTATTTTAAATTTGAAAATTAACCAGCTCGTGCAATTAATGAAGAACAGGAACAAGCCTAAAACTGCCGTAAGTAGTCTAACTGAAATTAATTTTCCTTGTAACAGCACGTTCTAATTTCAAAAGAAACTGGTATTACTGCTAGAACTGTATGAAATACTTTAAAAAGAAACAAGTACCATTGCTACTAAAAAAATCTTAAATTCACAACCATTCTATAGAAACTGTAGTAAATGCAATTTAAAAAGGCAGGTAAAAAAACTTATAATAAAAAAGATAGCCCCTGGCTGTATTTTATGTAATTTAACATATAACCAGAAAAAATGCATATGTTCTTTATAAAAAGCGCAAATAGTCAATGTTCTTTGTCTCAAAAACATTTCACGATATTACTCGGTTAAAGTCTTTTGAATGAACATCTGAAAAGAAGAAAAGATATGAAACAGCTCTCTAATAATGATTTAAAAACCACAATCATAAAAATTCTTGGAACAGATCAAGACAAGAGTTCAAGAAACCCAACTGAGGAACTTTCAAATCGACAACCTGCTAAGCAAACAAGACGTCATTTTTGTCCGAAACATAAAGACATGAAATCATGTGATGACTGTAAGAGAGCAAATTGTAAGGAACGTAGTATCACCCTAAACTTTTGTCAAGATTGTTTAGAAATTAAGATATCGGAAAAAATAAGAGGGAGTGAATGAAGACGTATTCACTCCCTCTTATTTTGTCCGATATCATTTTTACTTGTTAAAGTTTTTTGTAAGTTTACTTTTGTTAAATTATTGTTGTAAAGTTAACAGTAAGTCTATTTAAATTAGTTTACACACAAAATTTGCAAAATTGTTTTGGAATATAAGTTTTTCAGTTTCTTATTTGGCTATGATAGAAAAGATTTATTTTTATATAAAATAAAATAAAACATTTTGATAATATTAATTAAATTAAATTAAATTAAATTAATATATTGTCGATTGTAATTAATTCAAATTAACTTGTTTACTATCTTTGAAATAATATAAACACGTCTGTGTTCTAACCACTTGTGCCAGTCCGTAACTGATCTAGTCTGTTTTCAATATGGCGCCTGGATACTTTTATACTTCAAAGGCGCCGACTAAGAGTGTCCTAACTGTTTGTGGTTAAACTGTGGCATAACACTGTCAAAATCCGCACGTCAGTCTAAGTGACGTGCATCGAAATTAGCACAAAAAAAGTCATCTTTGATTGTCATGTAAATTTTTTCAGTAACATCATAGTATAAAAAAGAATAGTATGGACACTCGACAGGCGGGAAAAAGTACGCGCATCATTTAGCGCAGGCCATATCGCCATATTGAAAACAGACCGAACGCTAGTGACACCCGACTGGTATTAATGTGAGTGTAGTCGAGTCATCTGTCGTGATTTGTTTGTTTATATCTTTATCGTCGAGTTTTATTTTTCGTTTAATTAAGCCTAAAAAAACTTGGGGATATTAATTTCATTTTAAAATTATTTTTATAAAAATTTAATTTATGTAATTTAATAATTGTTTAACAATATTTAATAATTATTTAATATTTAGTTTTAGTATTTATGTTATGGTTAGGATATTTTATGTTGTTAATTGTTTTGTAAAAAATGGAAACATCCCGTTAATAAATAAATAAATACTAATTCTGGTTTTATTCGCCAAAAAATAAAGTAATTGATATTTCCAGTTAGGAAAATGGTAACCTTTACAACTGAACATAAAATTCAAATTATTAAATGATATTATTCTGGAAGTAGGGCCAACGATGTAACCGCTACGTTTTCGTTTTCATTCGAAAGCCCTGTACCATCAAAATCTGCAATTCACAACATTATTTTTAAATTTGAAAATTAACCAGCTCGTGCAATTAATGAAGAACAGGAACAGCCTAAAACTGCCGTAAGTAGTCTAACTGAAATTAATTTTCCTTGTAACAGCACGTTCTAATTTCAAAAGAAACTGGTATTACTGCTAGAACTGTATGAAATACTTTAAAAAGAAACAAGTACCATTGCTACTAAAAAAATCTTAAATTCACAACCATTCTATAGAAACTGTAGTAAATGCAATTTAAAAAGGCAGGTAAAAAACTTATAATAAAAAAGATAGCCCCTGGCTGTATTTTATGTAATTTAACATATAACCAGAAAAAATGCATATGTTCTTTATAAAAGCGCAAATAGTCAATGTTCTTTGTCTCAAAAACATTTCACGATATTACTCGGTTAAAGTCTTTTGAATGAACATCTGAAAAGAAGAAAAGATATGAAACAGCTCTCTAATAATGATTTAAAAACCACAATCATAAAAATTCTTGGAACAGATCAAGACAAGAGTTCAAGAAACCCAACTGAGGAACTTTCAAATCGACAACCTGCTAAGCAAACAAGACGTCATTTTTGTCCGAAACATAAAGACATGAAATCATGTGATGACTGTAAGAGAGCAAATTGTAAGGAACGTAGTATCACCCTAAACTTTTGTCAAGATTGTTTTAGAAATTAAGATATCGGAAAAAATAAGAGGGAGTGAATGAAGACGTATTCACTCCCTCTTATTTTGTCCGATATCATTTTTACTTGTTAAAGTTTTTTGTAAGTTTACTTTTGTTAAATTATTGTTGTAAAGTTAACAGTAAGTCTATTTAAATTAGTTTACACACAAAATTTGCAAAATTGTTTTGGAATATAAGTTTTTCAGTTTCTTATTTGGCTATGATAGAAAAGATTTATTTTTATATAAAATAAATAAAACATTTTGATAATATTAATTAAATTAAATTAAATTAAATTAATATATTGTCGATTGTAATTAATTCAAATTAACTTGTTTACTATCTTTGAAATAATATAAACACGTCTGTGTTCTAACCACTTGTGCCAGTCCGTAACTGATCTAGTCTGTTTTCAATATGGCGCCTGGATACTTTTATACTTCAAAGGCGCCGACTAAGAGTGTCCTAACTGTTTGTGGTTAAACTGTGTAGCAGATAGCAAAGGCGTTGATTACAATGTTGCCACTAACACATTTTTTTCGGTGGATACTCAAAATTTTTTAGAAATGAGTTATTATTGTAAATTTAAGTTGTGATATTAGTAGAATTTTCAACAATCTTTTTTTGGAAAACATTGTATAGTAAAATCATTATTTGGGTAATTATGTAAAACTGGTGAAATCATGGTAACGGCACAGAATAATAAACAATTGTTTTTTATTCTGTGGCAACGGCATTCAATACTTTCACCACCTACTGGACCTACGTGACTAGTAGCGCCGTGGCCGTTATGGACGGCTGGACTTACACAACTCACTCTCCCCACCTCTCCTATACCACTTACACTACTGTTTATGGTATATACTGTTGTTTAATCTCATATTCAAACACTTGTACTATTTAGCATTTGCAGTCAGCTAATCGATTTCTTCTAATTCAGTAACTATATGTCTCTAACGTAGAAGTCTATTCAACTCTTGCTCTATTTTCCAGGAAAAATATTGATCTTTGTTTAAAATACTCTTTGTAATAAAGTTGTTGCTACTAACAACGCGCATTGTATGTACACTGCATACTTCATGCATCTTGAAAACTCGAGATGATAAAGTTACTCCTGGCTTTTCATTTGCTACACCATACTTTTGGTAAGTTCATATTATAAATGTGTATGAAATTATTAATTCTACTGTTATTTTAAGTACATTCCATCGACTGTTTTAAATGTATATCAGTAAACAACGATTTTGTACCTTGTGAAGACCCGTTTCATCATAACTTCACAAATGATATTTATCAATCACCTTGTATGGGCGGTAAAAAAGGGCGAGATGGACTGTTTCCTGCTACTTCTTGTATAAAAATAGCCGGCATATTTGGTAAGAACTTTATACACTAGTAAAACTTTTAAATAAATATTTATTTTTTTATTTAGATGTTAAGCGTTAGGATAATAACACTGCTGCTTTTAACTATCTGGGTCAACTCAAAATTACCGGGTATTGTTAGCGTGCGATAGACTGGTTGCCTGATATTTGGCGCATTACATATAGGGTGAATCAATATTATCGCAAATTTAAATGTTTTTAGTTGTATATATGCTTTTCAACAAATAAAACATAAACTAATGGAATTATTCGCGCCAGACATTTCTTAAATTGGACAGGTTTGTAAATATAATTAAGTAATAACAAATATTTTTGTTGTAGATGACACCGAAGATGCAATTGTTGTGCGTGGATGTGCCTTAGATAGCGGAACCTTAACTACTGATACCGAGATTGTCAGAATGTCGCATTGTGGCAGCTTCTATTATGAAAATAGGTATAACATACGAATTTTTAAAGCATGAAATAACATGTACTATTTTTAGGTACGTAAGAGGTTGCGTGCAAAGCTGTAATGACGCAGATGGCTGCAATAAAGGTGCTCAAGAGAAATTTAACTCACGGACAATATTATTATGTATGTTTCTCTCAAAAAGTCTCTCCATTATGCTATAAATTATACACTTTTTAAATAAACTAAGTTTTTATGAATTGTTTAATGTGTTTAATTATGAGAAATTCTAAATCTGTGCTGAATACTTGCCCTTATTCTCTCTCTTTTTATTCTTGTCGACTACTTCTCACAAAGCTTAATCTCAATCTGCTCTTCTGTCGTCTTCCCCCTGCAGTGTCCAGTTTAATACTTTTTTTTGGATTTTGTCGTCATCCATTCTTTATACATGTCCGTACCATCTTAGTTGGTTGATTCTGATGTCCTCTCTTATTCTATGTTTAACGCGCATGATTTCTTGAATTCTCTACTTTCTTACTCTGTGTAATCTTAATTTACCGGCTGCTCTCCTCCAATAATCAATTTCTACTAATTTCAAAGTTTTTATGGCTTTCTCATTCAGTAGCCATATTTCCCATTAGCTGTTATTTCCCTAATTTGTTTATGAAGATTTAAGTTATCGTGTTTCTCTACCAACTGTTCAATCTCTTCGCATCTGTCACTATACCATCTTTCATTTGCGTCTCTGATCTTTCTCCTTATTTCTGTGTGTATAATATTATACATGGTTTTGTCTTTGGTTTTAAAAGATCTCGTTGGTTCCATGACATCCAGAATCTCATCGGTCATCCATTCATTTTTGTTCTTGATCAGCTTAGGTGTTAGTGTTGTATCACATGTGCACATAAGAGCATCTTTTAACATATGCCATTTCCAGTTCGCATCTTCAGTACTAATAATTTCTATTTTGGTGAGCACTTCTTTAATTTTTAGTGTGACTTGCTCTTTTGTTGATGGATCTCTCAAACGGGATACTTGTATCCTCTCTACTTTAGTTTTAGCCACAAGCTTTTTTAGATTAATTCTAAACCTTCCTACAACTTGGTTGTGATCTGATCTCACATCAGCTCCGGGGTATGATTTTACTGATTTTATGGAATTTCGGTATCGTTTGCAGATGAGAAGGTAGTCAATTTGGTTTCTGATGACCTTATGTAGGTTGTCTGCTGGAGATTTCCATATATACTCTCCTGGGCGGCAGATCATAATTAGTATTCACGACAATTAAATCGGTCTCTTGGCAGAATTGAGCCAATCTGTCTCCTCTCTCGTTACAGGTGCCCAGTCCAAAGTTTCCAATAAAATCAACTTGACTTCTCCTACCGATTTTTGCATTTAGATCTCCCATAACTATTGTAACGTCTCTAGACTTGGTTACTTCTAAAGCTTGTAGTAATTCATTATAAAACTGTTCGAGCTCTTCATCCGACTTTTCTGCTGTGCATATACTTAAATTATATTGATTCTATATTGAGCTGTTCTTATTGTTACCATCATAACTCTATTCGAGATGGGTAAGATGCCAGTTACAAATTTCTGGGTAGCTTTGTCAAATAATATCGCTACTCCGTTCAAGTGATTTGAGTCATTGTCATTACTAGAGTAGTACATCTTTGCTTGGCCTACTGATATGTCACCTTAATTGGGCCATGCGGTCTCAGTTAGTCCTAATATTTTACGTCAAGTTTTTCCATTTCCTGAATAACATTATGGACTTTACATGCTTGGTATATTGACTTAATATTCCACGTGCCTACCTTCATACATTTTCTTATGAAAATAAACACATTATGTGTTTATTGTACTGCCGTCATTGGTTATCGCTATTGTACTGCCGTCATTGGTTATGTATATGCCTAGACTTTTATACATTTTTCAGTGATTTATTTGCTATTCCTGAATAAAATTGCGTGTCATATATTCTAGATCTTCGTAGTCCCGACCCAAGACTATTTCGTCAGTTGCTTGACTCAAAAATTGTCAAAATTGCGTTAACATTATTAAAGGGCTTGAAAAAGCCTTATGTATGACCTGAAAAACTGGCACAATAATAATATCAAAAATTTCCGCTAGACGTCACTAGTGTCGCTATGACTTGTTGTCGGTTGAGATAAATTGTTTCTTGCAGTACTGGCACTTTTATTTCTATTCCTAATTATTATGTATAGTTTGCGATGAAACATGTAAAGAACATCAAAATGTGAATATTGATAGGAAGAATGAGATAGGTATATTGTATGTAAATAAAAAACTTGTGATTTGTTTTTTTACTTTATTATTATCTACTCGTGAAAAAGCTCATCTTAGTGATGTGAAAAACAGTGTAAGTTTATTATTGTTTAAGTTTATTATATGGATAATTTTTCGACTGTTCTAACAACCATTCAAATTTCGTCATTTTGTGTCATGTGGAACAATTTCACCCAATCATGTCAACATTAGACTGATAATTGCATTCAGTGCAATTTTCAATCCCTATGACAACACGATCGAGTTTGACAACTTCATCCAAATTAATTTCAAAATGAGCAACGAATCTAATGTTAACTTAAATTTTAATAATTGTACTTTCACTAACTGTACTTTTAATAAATAAATGTTTCGTTATGTTGAGTTATGATTTTTTTTTTTCGAAAAAATTATCCGCCGAATATCCCTCGGACATTGATGAATGCCTCATAATTTCATGACAAATTTCTCAAGCTCGTTACTTGGTAACAAGGAACGAGCTTTCGATTGTCATGAAATGTTCTCGTCTGTTATCAATGTCCTAGGGATATTACTGATAATTATTCTTTCGTCTATTTTTGCCATACAAACGTCATAAACGAATACGCTGATTTGAGTATCTGCAAAAAAGGAAAATAATTATTTTTTACGTTGTTTTTTTATGTAAATGGATATTTACGTATCAAGTCAGCAAAGCAACTCTTTATGGAACGTGTCTGATATTATAAGAACATCGAGCAAACGAGCGAGGCGAGTTAGAGATGAGTTCGATAAAGACCGTTTGCTGATGTGATGTATAAAAATTTTTATCGCCAACCATAAAAAACATTTTAAACTTTTACAAATTTTAATTTTAGAAAAAATAAAAATATCGTATGACAGTGCCTATCTGCCTATCGAAAAAATTATAACATAAAATCTTTGATAGGTTTAAAAACTTACTCCAAAAAATATGTTCCAAGACATCACCGTTAACGTTCCTATCTGCAGCCCAGCTCTTTGATTACATTTGAGCATGAAAATATTCACTAGTGACTTAGTTCTTGGTGATTTTTCATACCACAGCACTGTATATATCGCATCTACCAAGTCGAAGCTCTAAAAATAATGATAATTAAACTAAACGAAAGAAAACACTTCGCCTTTTACAAAAACTAAAATAGTATGCGCACTTAATAAAATAACAGATACTTAATCCACATATCGTTATGTTAAAATTAAGCAAAGCAGTCCCTCTATCTCTATCTAATGGGCGAGGCTTATTGCCCACGTGGCCGTTCCACTACCAGGAACAAATGAGGTTAAGGTACTACTATATTTCTAAGAGAGTCATTAATATTCAGCATATATTTATGAACAATTTGGTCTAGCGTATCGACACCACATTTTATACTATTATAAGAGTATCATATCTGTTTTTTTGTCAACATCATCTGCACAGTAAGCATTGTGAGGCAGGGTAAACAGAACTAGGGCACTTTTTTGTTTTTTCGGAACTTGAGAAACAAGAGATGCTTTTGGAGTGAATCCGAAAATTGAAAATTTGTCTAAACGATTCTTGTTTGGTAAAAATTCCCGAGGAACAAATCTCTTATTTTTTTTTCACTGAGCCCACAAGAGTTAGCGAATTTGGCAGTATAAATAAATGACTAATAGAATAAAGCGTTTAGTGATCAAAACAGTGCAAGATTATGTAGTTTACTCTTTATTAGCAAAGCTTAATATGTTTTAATATCTTTTTGACAACGTTTGTACCTCAAAATATTTACCTTCATCATTACTTCGTTAGCGTACCAGTAGTAAACTCCCAATCTGCATAGAAGAATGAATCCAAATCCTACTCCTGCTGTCATGGCTAGCATGTCTACCTCAAACTAGAAAAAAATTGGTTAGAACACCGTGTGTTTGGTTTTCAATTGACCTGTACAACTTCTTGGGAAATTTGAAATTATTTAATTAGAGCACTCCAAAGTATGTACAGAAATTTAAATATCGGGAATAAACTTAAGTCAAACAAGCCGAACGTGTACGAACTCATCATTTTATAGCCTTCCATAAAATTATTAGACCCTCCAAGATAAAACCAACTGCTCACCGGCACCCTTTAGTGATCCATAAACTGATCACCGCAGATAGGTTAACTCATCACCAGCATTTTTGCCCCAAAAATCTCATTTTTAATGCGGACGATTGTCTGTTACCTCTTACTATGTTGTCTCACAGTGATTGGCTATTAGGCGTATCTGCCAATATAAACGGATTTGAGATTTGAAAATTCAGCTGCATAGATTCTCGATAGTGAACTTTTTAATGAAAATTTTTAAGGATGCAAAGGCAAAGATCACAATGATAATGACCAACGCGTATGTCTAATCATAGACAGAACTTTTTATTCCTTAACTTCACAGTAATTATATTACTGATTTGTAAACTATTATTCCATAAATTTAACTTCCTTGAGACACTATTTTCGATGTGGTTATTGTTTTTTTTAATTCTAGATATATCTAATGACAATGCAGGGCATGCAGTTTTTGCAGTTGGTGAAATTTACACTAGAATTGGGGTGTCGTCTGCATATGTTGCTACAGTGATGTTATTACATTTTTGAAGGACATCATATGTAAATAGCTAAAGGTAATCATAAATGAAATAAATTTATAAATAGGGTCTAGATGCATACGCAAAGGAAAAGATGGTAAAGATGGTGATAATGATCCACTTACCAATACGTAAAGACACAGTAATGCTATCTGCAAAGAACTCTGTAGAAAATCTCGTAACATAACACTCCTCATAGCATTATTGTAATCATTAATGAAACTAAAATAATTTAAGAATATTATTTACATAGTTCCTCGTCTACAAATCAAATGTTTAGTAGTAGGTGCAAGAATATAGTTACATTAAGATTGAAATACGACAAAACATACCCCATTAACCTTTGATGTTCTTTTATACAAAGCTGCATTGTTACAAACTCAGCTTTTTCATCATCACATTCAAGTTGATCTTTAATTTTCCCCTTATAATTCTCAAAATCCAATATAATATAATTAAGGATGTCTAGTTGTCCCATAACATAACTAATAAAGCTGAAAAAGAAGATGTCGGTTCCATAATTGTAGACTGCACAGCAGGTGGCAGCGATATCTCCCCATAAGAGTGCCTTGTAATAATCTTCATCGACGTCAAATGGTATCCAAGAGTCTATTGGCAAATCTTTGTGTAGTTTAGTTTGGTTTGTGGCAGGATCGTAGATTTCTTGGTATGGGTAAAATAGAGGAAATATAATATACAAGTAGACAATGGTATCTAAAAATTATATACTTTTAAATAAATGCATTGTTGTATACGATCTGTAATGACAAACAGTTATAATACATTTCCCATCCTTCTACGTGAGTCATCAATCTCTGGTAGAAGAGTGAGATCATATAGCGACAAATTATTCTGTGATCGTACATCTTTCAAAGTCAAAGTATGTGAAAAAAATAAAAACACAAACAAAGCGAATATAAAAAACAGCGCCTGGTACTTGAGGAGTGCGACAGAAGTGAATACTTCTTATAAGCACCCCTCTTTTCGTTCCCAGAAACTTCAACACTGGTCTGTTTCACCTTTTCGGTTAGGCTAGGACCAGGTTTGTAGAAATCTGCCATTAGTCGCTGTGCTTAGGAGCCAACAAACTGTACCTGGTGCCGATTCATCAAGTCGACCATCCAGTTTTATTTTGAATGTAATTATGTTAGTATCATAGACAGTTATGACAAATGGTTTTGGTTATGATTTTGTTTTTTTTTTGTTTTGCGAAGTCGTGAAGCACTGTTCCAATAGCTAGGAAATGCTACTGTTGTTCCAACCTAAATGTTGTTTGCCCTAAACGAAAACTTTTCCTTTTTGTCCAGTTTTCGCTCTTACGTGGGGGTATTGTAGCATTCTTATCTTCTCTCGTATGTATTGAAATCAAGTATACGTTAACACGCCGAAAAAGTATTTTTAATCCTTTTGCATCGCTGAAGTTGATAATAAACACATTGAAAAGTTTGTTTATATATCACAGACACGTATTTCTTTGGTATTTTCTTTTTTGCGCTTTTGCGGGGAGTCAACCATCAGTCTTGATAAGCCCGGCCGCTGTTAAAGGCGTTTAGTTTTATCGGAGTCCGAATTTTTCTTCAAATTTGTAATTTTTTCGTTTTTCGTCTTTGGTTATGGAAATATATAGTTTAGTGGACAGTTAATAGCGCAGTTATTGAAGGTTGGGAAGATATTTTGTTGAAACAACACGCGGCGAGTGTGAGCGTTAAGAAGCCAGCAAAATTGGTTGAAAAAAGTGAATTGTACTCAATGTAATATGTCAGTTTTGAAAGAGTAATCACTGTTTCTATGTTTCTAAGTATCTAAGAGATTTGCGGCGTTTACAACCACTTTAATGGATAACCACATATTGTCATTGTGCCCAGTTGCATTCCAGTTGCATTCTAGTTTTTAAGAAGCCGAGTGTCAAATTTTGACATCAGTTGGAGATGCATTTGCTTGAGTTGCAGTCAATTTTGCCTCAAAGCAACCAAACGTGTCTCCCAGAAACATAAAGCAAAGGCAAGAACATCCGAGGAAAAACTTTTCAAAAACGTTCAAAGAACCAAAGTCAGTGAGTATTTCTAAGCAACTTATACCTAAAACTGCTTCTTCTTTTATATCTAATGATAATTTATACACTTTTACTTCAGTACAATCTGAAACTTCACCTTCTTCTATTACTTCTGTTTCTTTTAGAGGTCCTTTAAATTCTAAGGTACATTTCAATTCTGGTCCAATACTAAATGTTCATATTAAGGATAATATACCATATATTTTTATTTCTGTAGGTAATGAGACAATCTCTACACTTCTTGATAGTGGCAGTATTAATGTAAGTAATGTCTCCTTCTTTATTTTTAATCAAAAAGTTCAATTTGGCACTTAATTATGTTTCAGTTTAACTCACTACTGCCGATGGAAACATTCAGAGTACTTTAGGATATGTTTGGCTATCTGTTGCTTTATTGAGTAAAACTCAATCACTTAAAGTGTTAAAAGTTCCTTGTATTTCACATAATAAGGTGTGAATTTTATTCATTTGTTTCAACTTTCTTTGTGTACTTGTGTAGTACATACTATTATCAGTTCTGAAAATCTTTCTGACATTCACAATATAATATTAAATTGTAGTAACTCAAATAGTAATATTTTAAATATATAGGGAAAATTTAATAGGTTTAGTATACACTTCCACTATTTAGAATAATTCTTCTTTTTTTCAAAGAAAGAAGTCTGCAATAGTAGTATACTTGAGCTATTAATACTAAGAAGTAGGAATTGTTTGTGTTGTAGGTTTCCGACAATGAGTCTGTCAAAATATGCTCTAGCTAAGCGAATGGAGAATAACACTAATCCAGCTATTCGTTATAGTTTCAAGTTCAGATACTACAACCACGCTTGGGACAAAATTTAAAAACTTATTTGTGCTTATTTGTACAAAACAAACAACAATTATTCTTAACATCTTGATTGAATTTTATCAAATAAATAGAGCTACTGCGGAGAAACTGTATCAGCTGATTTATCTTACCCCAATAGTTAACCATCATATAGTAAAAATTAAACTTGTTATTAATCCTGGAACGCTCTTTATAAATTTTAGTGATTCCTTCATCCTCAGACTCAAATATCTGTCTTTCTCGTACTTGAATTCTCTTTATTAGCTCCTGAGCGCCCGGAGTACTCACAGCCTGAACTCGCATGAGCCCATTGTGTAAGTCGAAGCTAGTACAGCTGATTTGGTAAAGTTAATCATGTCCAAATTTTTTTTTATCATAAGGTATAACTCGATGTATTCCGTGGTGACGTACAGAAACGCTATCAAAAATATAAACCAAGAGTAGATGTTGTAAATTCTTCTGTAGAGCGGTTTTTTATCAAAAACTAATGGCCACACACCAAAGAATATTGTGTTGTAAATAGTCATCTTCATGTGTTCAATTTTTGGTGCTGCCTGAAATAAAAAAATGTGTTTTAGTTAGCCAAGCTAGATTTTGCAACAATAATTAAGATTGCTATAAAACTGCCAGCTCAATACGTATTTTTTAAAGTTGGTTTGAGTGCTATATTAACATTTCTTTAGTTTATATTAGAAATGGGTTGAGTTTACCGAAAGTACAAGCTGAGTATAGCTGCAAATGTCAACCATGACATAAAATATTTCGGTTTTTCAGTGTTGAGATGTTTTATAGTGCATATGTTGTATGCTTCAAATATAAACAGAGAAGTTATTTTTTACTAACTTAACATATGTTACGAGCTTAAATATTATGACGTATAAAAACTGTAAATATATTTACTCATTCACGAATGTTCTAGGTCAGATATACCGATAGACTACCGAATTCTACAAAAAAGGTCAGATAACCGGTTCAGTTACTAAGAATGCCGTCTCTGAATTTACCAGAATGCAATTGACTTTTCGAGACCCGCTGGATGAGTCACCTACTGGATGTAACGTCATCGGTGCATCCCCAGACTTTTCGAGATAGCGGCATTTTATATATAAATACCATGAATTTTATTGAGGGAGTTAGTGAAGAAAAGAAATTAGCGGAACGTGGTTTAAATTGTATCGAACGAAAATAAATTATTTGTAATTATTAAGTGTAAAATAAATTAGTATAAAATAAAGACTTTTGATAAATTATCGTGAGTTTTAATAAATTAGAATAAAGACAATAAATTAGGACTAATAAAAACATTATACTTAGTTAAGTCAAATTACCAATAAAGAAATGCTTACGAGTCGCTTTAATTTTTTAAACGATCCTCTAGTGTTTCGGATACATTTTTGAATTTATAATGAGAGACTATGCCATCAAGCTCAAGAAAACAGAATATAGTTTCCTGGTCTGGTAAGACGAGGCCTAGCTGAGACTTCAAACAAACTTATGATTCAATTAATCGTGCAACATTATGGAAGGCAATGATCGAGCTCGGCGTACCCAAGAAACTAGCTGTGGTATCACAGATCTGTGTAAGTAACTCCTTTGCACAAGTTAGAATAGGGGGAAAATATCAAATGCTTTCTGCGTAAATTCTGGACTGAGACAGGGAGAACCGTTATCCCCATTGTTGTTTAACCTGGCCTTAGAATATGCCATGCGAAAAATATATCCAAAAATCAAACCAGACATAACTGCTCGGGGAGCAAACATCACACTTGCCTTTGTCGATAACGTAGACGCAGTAACACAATCAACATTAGAAATTAAGGATATTTTTTCGAGCTTTGAAGAAGCTGCATTAAAAATCGGTCTAAAAATAAATGAAGACAAAATATAATACATAGTCGTCTCAAAACAAGAACGTCGGCGAATAAAGCAACTTCGAAGTCTTTAAAGAATTGAAATATCTAGGAGCAACAATCACAAATGACAATAAATTAAAGCGAGAAGTTGAAACGAGAATAATGGCAGAAAACAGATCTTTCTTTGCAATGCAACATCTAATAAAGTCAAACATAACAAAAAGTGAAGTAAATAAATTGCTGGTGTGGGAACATAATTTTTTTTTAATGATATATGGCCCTTGCAGAGACAGCGTGACAAACGAATGAAGGGGCAGATACAATAACGAGCTAGTCTCTATTCTGAAAAGAAAATCTAGTCAGATATATAAAGGCCAATAGACTCAGATGGGTAGGGTATGTGATATGCAATAACGTCAATCTCCTTATAAACAATGTGTTATGGGAAAGGCCAGATCGAAGAAGGTCTGTAGGGCGGCCTAGAAAAAGGTGGAAAGATGCAGACAATGGGAATTACTGGCACAGGACCGAAAAACATGAAAGGCAATAGTAAACGCGGCAAAGACTCACGAAGGGTTGTAGCGCCATTGATGATGATGATGATGATAAGAGTTGTTCAAAATCTTCTTACTCTATTCGGTCTTTAAGTAACAATTTTGGATTATCAAAATCAATACCATGAACAAACTGTAGGCAGATGATGCCGACAGAACAGTGGAGTTTTGTGACCCGATTGGAAATTTGATCAGGAAATATCCCAATATAAAAAGCTGGTGCATTTTCTGACCAAGCGACATTTTTTTTAAATAAACACCATATACGCTTGTAAGGTCCGGAAAATCTACATGGTTTCAGAAACGTGAAAATCCATCCACAAAAAGTTAATTATTGGGCTGGAATTGTTGAAAACCGAATAGTTGGCCCATACTTTTTCGATGACAATAAAACTGCAGATGTTTCTATTTTAAATAAATAATAAATAAACAAATTGATGTCATTTGTCTTACTATTACTAAACTAATCTAAATAAAAATTTCGCTCAATGTATATCTATTACTAAACTTACCCCAGACAACATTTTTAGATTTTCAACCAGCGGTCTAGCGAAATGATAAAATAAAGTATCTAAAAGTTTTATTTGAATGTATATTATATATGTCTATACGAGAATTAAGCTTAATTTGATTCATTATACCAATTTTATCTAACTTACTAAAGTTCATATAAATGATAGATGATTACCTAACTTTAAAAGTAAGTTATAATAAGTTTTGTTATGTAGAACTACATATATTGACAACCTTTATTTGGGGATTTTTTATTAATGTGTAAGATTTAACTTCAAAATGATTGTCTATAGCATTTTTTATATAAAAAGCTTGCATGTCATTCAAGATTTACGTCGTCAGAACCCACAGCGTTGCCAAAACATCAGAATAGTTAGTAAGTGGGGAATTTTTAAAATGTCAACTATTTGTCAAACTATTATATTAACAGTAAATACACTTAGTTTTAAGACTACTGCAACACATTAAAATGCATAAGAAAACATTTTAATACAAAATTATATATTCTGAATTTTAAACTAGTACCTCTTTTAGGGCTTTAATTGTAAAAACGTCTCGCCATTATTTCTTGTTCAAAATAATCTATCTTATACGAAAGTTTATCAGCTTTCTACAGACTATTTATTCGTTTTGGCATATCACAATCACAACAATAATTAGTTTTTAAAGCTATTAATCTAAATTTAATATGTATTTATAAATACAATTTATTAATACAGTGCGTTAAGTTTTGGATTAGGTATACACTCTATAAATGGCAACACTGCGCGTCGTCGACTTGCACTACATATCTGCCATAGATATATAAATATCTGCTTCGTTGACTCGTCGTTGCTCGTCGCCCGTCGGCAAATTTGTCATTATACCGTGGTTCTTTAAAGGTATAACAGCGTAGAGTTTTAATTTATTTTTGTAAACATGTCTGTATTATATGGCCGCGGAAAAAGCTCAAATAATAAAATGGTTTTCTAGTGCCAATTCTGCGCAACAGTGTGTAGATTTATTTTCTGTGTTTTTTGAGGGAAGACCAATTCCTTGTGTACAGTCAATTTATAATATTGTTAAAAATTTTGAGAGTTGTTATTGCCTCAAACATTGCATAAAATGTCACGCTCGAGAAGTGTTACCAGAAAAAGTTGAGGAAAGAGAATACCGGGATACACAAATTTGTGCAACAATCGAGGTAGATTCAACACGTTCAAGTAGAAGCGTTGCTAGAGAGTTAGATGTTAGCAATGTTACTGTAACGAAAGTATGGAAAAAGCACGGTTACAAGAATTTTAAATATTCGAAAACGCAGCAGCTTTATCCAGACGATTACTTTCGAAGAATGGAGTTTTGTGAAACTCTAATAACGAAGGCTAATAGTGAACCAAATTTTATTAAAAACATTTTATTCACTGATGAATCTTCTGTTTCGTTAGTAGGGAGACACAATCCTTCCATAACGAGGTATTGGGCGCGAGAAAACCAGCTCAGAAGTGTTTACCGAACTCAACGTCCTCAAAAAGTTAACGTCTGGACTGGCATTTTAGGAGACCACATAATAGGTCCATTTTTTATTGAGGGCAACTTGAATAGTAGAGTAAACCTCGATTTGTTACAGAATCATGTTCTTCCCGCTATTCTCAATCTTCCTGATGTAAATCTGGAGAATGTTTGGTTTCATCAAGACGGCTGTTCAGTTCACAACGCTCGAATTATTAGGGAGTATTTAAACAATACTTTCCCGAATCGAGTTATCAGTGGAACAGGCGATATTAAGTGTCCTGCGCGATCTCCAGATCTTACACCCATGGACTTTTTTTTGGGAACATTTAAAAAGCATTATCTACGCTCATCCTGAGGCTAGAACCCAAAATTTGGATGAATTAAAAAATCGAATAAGAGAAGTCTCCAATTCTGTTACAGCAGAAACTCTTTCATCTGTTCGCAGAAGTTTTTATGACTAAGACACATTTTTCTAATAAGCTGGACAGAATGCTTGTACCAAAACATAAAAAAATTTTTTTTTCATAAAAATTTGGAAAAAATCATCCAAGGGGGTACCCTAGGATTTTTTTTCAAATTTCGTTATTCGGCTACATTGGCGTCAATTTTGGTCCGAGAGTCAAGCGAGTGGACATTTATTACATAAAATTGACCGCTCGTTCTTTTGCCATGCTCAGAATTTTCCTACTCTAACGGTTCGTGAGAAAAATTTTCATTTGGATGTGTATATTTGCTGAAAAACTGGAGAAATTTTAATTCGATCTTTTCTCTTTCCCGTAAAATTTGGGTTAGCGGATCAGACTCATAAGCAGGACCGAGTTCTTGTACCAAAACATAAAAAAAAATTTTTATATAAATTTGGAAAAAATCATCCAAGGGGGTACCCTTGCATTTTTCTCAAATTTCGTTATTCGGCTATATTGGCGTCAATTTTTGTCCGAGAGTTAAACGAGTGGACATTTCTTACATAAAATTGACCGCTCGTTCTTCTGCCATGCTCGGAATTTTCCTACATCTAACGGTTCGTGTTAAAAATAAAGTAGGTCTATATTTGCTGAAAAGGTTGGAAAAAATCATCCAAGGGATTGGATACCCTTGGATTTTTTTCAAATTTGGTTATTCGGCTATATTTTCTGTAAATAAAGATTGTGAGTTGTGACTGTGATAAGTCTTGTGGGATATTGGCTTCTTCTAGAACCTACTTTGAAATGTATACCCCTTTTAAATATGCAAAAACGTTGCCACTTGACCTTACTCTTACACCTTTTCCTCTGGTTTTTATTAATCAGTCTAAAATAAAGACGTAAGAGACTTGTTTCAGTACATAAGAGAAGAAAGTAGACTTTTATTTCAAGAAAGCACACCGGCTGAAGACGACAATGAGAATAGTGCTGATGACTCAGATGGTAAGGAAATTTAGCATAAAATTATATTAAATATAATGTATTGTAAACAAAATAAAAGTTTTCTTGTTGTACAAAGACCTTGATTATTATTTTAAACCTTTGTATACTATAATATATAACTCTGTAGAATACAACAGTAAAAACTTATAGGCCGTTCTTCTGCAGAAGACGTTTTAATCTGTCAAATGTGTTCTCCAGAAGAAGGGCTTATGCAAACTTAATTTAATACTCTTTATTTAAAAAAAGACATATTGTATAAAGGTGTTCTCTACTAGTTTATTAGTGAATCGAAAATTCTTAAAACTAAAACACAATGCAAGTGTTGGTTCGCCTTTGGCATGGATGTTAAATCTTTGAATGATTGTTTCTTAAAATACACTTTTAGCAGAAAGACTCTTCTTATAGTTACCGCCTCATTTTTTACCATAGAGGCACTAGCAATTCATATTAAAAAAATTTTTAAGTGTTCAAACAAGCTGAAATATCATGGCTGCTTTTATAAAATACCAATTCTGCAAGAAAAACTAGTACAGAAAGAACCTGCACAAACACTACAAAGTGAAAAACTAAAACCAAGTTGTCAAACGTTATAAGCTTGGCACTATCAGAATTCTTTTCATACTTCCGGTACAAAATATCCTTTTTCCACTTGGTAATGAACCCAGCTGTGGTAAGTCTGTCCAGATATGACTGAAATATGTTATAAAGATTAAACCCTTTTCTCATCACTATATTGACTGGTATTTTAATTACCGGTTTGTTCAAACAATATGGTTTTTCCTTGCTCTGAGATAGCTCTCCTGATCGGCTAAATAGGTATTCTTTGTGTAGTTCAGTTACACAGAAAGCATTATGTTTTCCTTCTAAAATTTGCTCGAAGCAGTAGGATATGTTGATGCAGGTTTCTCCAGTTATTTAAAATGGTTTTAATGGTACTGATTGAACATAGTTGTCTTCATTTTTCCAGTTTTGCGCAAAGTACTTTTCTGTATCTGGTAAAAAGTAGGTAGTCAATTTATATTTGTAGATATCCTCCATTTTGCTAATTTTTTCTCCGAAACTTTGACTTGATAGACTACTGGTCAAGTAGCTTGTGTAGATAATATTCATAAACAGATTGAATACTATAAACAGTCCCATCAAGTACCTAATTAGACCTGATCTGGGTAGATCATTTGCTCCAAATCCAATAACGACCAAAAACGTCGTCAGAAAAACACTTGGTTAGGTTTTTATAAGTAGTAGACTCAGTGGTACTCTTTTTACTTAGGCACCACAGCACCAAAGTGGTAACAAAAAATACTGTACCGAAAGCTATCCAAACTTCCACAGACAAGATTACTATCATCGGTCTTAAACCTTGGTCGGTACGTTGATGGGAAACACACCAAATCAGAGTGTCCTGTATATAAGTCTTGCTGGTATCCATGTAGAACATTTTTCCAAAACTTTTGTCATACCCCCCAATCATAATGTCGGCTTCATTATTACTTAAAAGACTAAATCCTCCAGTAGTAGTACCATTATCATACACATTACCAAAACCATTTAGCTCATCTTCTTGGTACACTGCAAATAAGTTCAAGATTTCAGATATCATATTAATGACATTGACTTCGATACCTTGATCATCCGTGGAGCTGGCTTTTTTGAACTTTGGATTGTCTATTGTTACATATGGTGCCCATCTGGTATAAACAACTTTAAGAGTACAGTTATAAAAGTCTGTAAGTAATTTGTTGGTAAACCAAGATATGTTTCTTTCAGTATTTCCATACGAACAACGGTCAATGGACTTGTGTTCAAAATTGTCACCACAACTTCTGTTACTGTATGGTTCCCACGAGTAAACATTGTAAATAGATCTATTTTCTGTACTAGAAAGCAAAATTACTCCATTTAGAATGTGATAGTTTAACATTTCCTTCGTCACTTCTGTAGCTACCTGAACTGGATCACTAAATTCAGTTGTGGAGACTACTAAAAACTTGGCGTGAGGATTCCAAGTCAATAATTTTTTCAGTATCTTTAGACTCTTGGCAAATTCACTCCCTTCCCTAATTTGCATGATGTATCCCGTACTTTTGGATACATATTTAAATGGATAAGTTTTG